TCCAACATAACATATTTCCTAGGTTTTTGAGCTACTGCCCCCCCCACTCTTTTCAAACTTCTAATTTTGTTCGCTGTAGCACACGTTGTGCTCTTTTCCATGTTCATCCTGCAGGCCTGTCCGGCAGGGATCGGCAGGGATGAGGTCAAATCTGTCCCATAAAAAGGTTGCCAATGAAGTTTAGGCATTGCATTGTGTAATTTTCCACCACCAGCGAGTATTTTTGATTGAAGGGGTTGGGCCATTGAATGGGCGGAAAAAAGACCATTGCAAGGGAGATTGTAGAATAATGACACGCCTCTCTACAATTTGTGTCACAGTTCTATGTCATATTATCAGTTGTGTAATGTGCAATGAAAATGAACACATTATTGTTGTCTGGCGATGGTGCACGTCTTGCTGCACATCCTGAACAGACCGCAGAGAGACGCAACGCTTCTAGGTCCTTTGGGCCGGGCAGTCATGAATGAGGCTCACCAATTATAAAGACATTTCACTGCAGCCAACAAAATAGATAGGGCAGAATACAGACGAAAGAGAGAATAGAGGAGGATGAGACCTGCAGGGGCGAGGGTGGAACTAAGGCGATTTCGTCAACTCTCTTTGGCCCTTGCAATTCGCAGTCCGGAAATAAACTGACTAGCATTTAACACAGGTAGGCAAGAGAGTGAGAGGGAGCCGAGAGAAAGGGCGTAATCAGAGGGGTGGGGGGAGCAGAGGGAGTGCTGGAGGAGGAACACAATTGGAATAATAATGAGGCGTTTAATTGGCTGAGGAGACATCATCATCGAGTTAGCGGCGGCTGTCCGCCCCGCCCGGCGCGCCCGCGTGCCTAAGCCTAACCCCTTCAGCCCCCGCTGAACACCTGAGAAAGAGGGCGTGGCGCGGAGGTGCGCTGCTGCTGCTCTCAGGGTGTTGTGCATGCCAGCACCTTTGTTCTGTTTCCTCTCGAGTTATTTAAGATGATTAATGTGATCTAATTTATCCCGTGGCCCTTCCCAAATGCGCGGCATTATCTCGACAATCACATGGCCAACGCCCATGTACCCGCGCGTGTGTGCGTGTGCAGTGGGCGGCGGCGGAGGCGGCAGCGCGGCGGTGCAGAGCGTGAGCGCAGTGTTTAACCTCGGTATTTCAGGTCAGAGTGTGAAATGATGAAGGTGAGAAAAATGGGGCTCGAGCATTTCTGTATTATAACGAGCTCGCGAGTGCGGCGTCTGCACTCTGGAGTGGATTTAGGCTGCGTCAGTAAGCGCGCAACTCAAGAAATGTACTTGACAAATCTTATTGCATGTTTTTATTTTTAGCAGATGATACGTAGTAATCAGCAGCTTGTACTCAAGTAAAGTGCAAAAGTTCGTTTGTTAGTTGAAGCGTGAAGTTGTCAGTTGTTTCTCTCCCTTATTCGAATCGACGCGTATAGTCACCAAGCCACAGCATCTCTCCAGGCAAAATTACGATTAAGTCGAGAAACAAATTTAAATGAATCAGGGAAGGAATCCGCAAATTGTACCTGTAATGGAACCATGGAAAGGCCTGTCCAGGGTGATTTCGACTGGTGCTCTTAGACCTGTCTCTCCATTCTGAGCCCGTCTCGTGCGAGTATGAGTTCTCGTTGCAGGGGAGGCGGAGAGAGGGCTTACGGCCTGCCCAGCCACGCCTAGGCGCGCCTGTGTGATGGGGTTTTGGGACGTTACGGCTTGCTCGTGCGCCGAACATATCGTGGCCTGCCAAGCCTTGCCGGGGCCTAACCACAGCAATGCGCGCTATATTGGCGTCCTGGGTCGGATTGCCGGAGGACGATGTCCCTCTCTGCACTGCAAAAGTAATTCGAGCAGCGTCAGACCCGCCTCACAGAAGCCCCTCTAAAATGCCGACATTTCATACCGCTCCTGGAAAGCGAAAGGGGTTGATGATGCTCGCTCTCGGATTCGGTTGTGAGAGGCCTAAACGGAATACATGAGAGGGTTGGCCTACATAGCGCCGCTTGGCGCCGCTCAGCAAGGCGCCCGCCTCAATGTCACTTCAGGACATTACCGAGTCCTGATGCGTTGGGATTTCGCAAATGAATACTTGATGCGCGACCCTCGCAACCCTTTGCAGGGGAGGAGACAAGTCGCACAGTTTTCGAGAAATTCGCCAAATTTGTGTACAATGTGTGGCATTAATGGGTGTGTTTGTCGGCCGCTGGCCCCTCTCAGCTCAGAGGGTGGACCTGACCGCAGAAGTGCTTACTCCCGCCAGCGGCTGCCGCCCTCCACCCCAGGCCCAGCAGCCCCACTCCGATATCTCCATCCCCCTTCCAGCAGAATCTATGTCACCCCCGCCTGGTCGCACCCCTGATGGCGTGTGTAGTACTCACTCGAACGGCCTCACCTTCCGAGGCGAATGTCCTGAGGAGTAATTGTCAGATCGCCCAGCCTCCGTGAGGGTGATTTCCCGAAGCTGGCGGAGCGGCAGTGTAGCCAGTTAATGTAGGCAAATCCTTCACGTATACACGGGTGGTTGAGGTTAGTGGGTTGTACCTAGCGCCTGTTTACTGGGCAAACGCTCGACACAGTTGTATGAATGTGGCCTAGTAGGTGGGCGTAGTTGTAGTGCGCAAGTGTAGTGCGTGCACTGCAAAAAATTATGACAGGAAAACTACAGATCGTCCTGCTAATTATTTTCCAGGAACTTCTGTTATTCGAATAACAGCATCGATGTAGTTTTAATGGTTAAAATTTGGTACAGGGAGCAATGTACAGGACCACTGTAAGGCAAAAGCGCGGACAAAACTGTCTACAGTGGAGCCGTATTCGTACACTGTACCGTGTAAATCCTGGGCTTTCCGGTGCTACAGCAACACTGTACTACGCGCTCTGTACCCTAGGTGCAGTGACTAAGAGCGGCATCTACAGTAACGCTGTAGATCGTTCTGTATCAGACTCTAATTTTTTGCAGTGTGGAAAATTTGCGTGCGGGTGTTACTGTGAATACGCAGCAGTGTTGCGGCATTGCATACTCAATATGGCCGCAGGGGCCACGGCCCCTTACGGGTGTTAAGAGTAGGCAAACCCGCAACACTGCTGCTCATTCACAGTTACACCCCGGTACTTGAACAATGCGAGTCGCGGCCAATAAATGCAGATATCTCGGAAAAACCATATGTGATAGCAGGTCTGCATTAAGTTACAGTCGGGTGTACCCATACTAGCTCAAGTCAAGTGCACACTTCATCATTCTTCAACTTTTCAGGTTCTATGAAATTGCTTTCAATTGGTTATCCCGAGTAATATTCATGTTGAAGATGACAGAAACGCGTACCAACCGCCTCTGTGGAAGCTCCACTACCCCTTCCACCGCAAATTCCCCCTTTTTTGGCTCCACCGCTGACTGCCCGCCCGTGCTCCATCCAACTCTTGCTCGACCTTTTCAATTACTCCCTGGGCGGGGCTCCGAGGGGAGGGGGGGAAAGAGAAGGGGGGAGGGGGCACAGCACCAACGCCCACTTCGCGCCTCTGTTTACGAGCCCCCTCCGTTCCCTCTCTTTTCCTCACGTGCGCGTACGCTCCTCTTTCCTGTTTTCGCCCCTCTTCCTCCCCTCTCCAGTATGACCGCTCCCGTGTAGAAGGCATGAGGGTGTACGCACGCAGGCATAGATAAAGCGCAGGCTTTGAACAAAGTGCCCTGTGGCGCCTGTGGGGTGGGAGAGCTGTTTCACCTGCTCAGCCCGGCTCAGCCCAGTCTGACTCCCTGAACAAGTGCAGCTAGTGTGAATGCGCAAAGAACAGGACAACCTTATCACCAGCTGCATGTACGGCTGCTTCCGCTGAGGCCTGAGAAGGCCCCGTAACGCCTCTTCATGTTGGTGAGAGAGTTCCCAAAAGGTTGGACCCAGTCGGCAGATCCACCACCCACCTCCAATGGCTTACGTTGATGGGATTTCTCCTCAAACAGAATTGTAGGATGTACTTATTACTGTCCATGTCTGTTGGCCAGCTTTTCTTTTAGCACTCTGTCTCTTTTGCCCTTGCTCTTGGCCTTTAACTCTGTCTCTCTTGCCCACCATTCCAACAAGCTGGCGCGCGCACGTCTGAACACGAACGATCATCATCATTGTTATTTAATTCTTTTGCTTCCGCTTCTTTTTTGCGCTGCGCCACGCCCGGTCACGCCCCCTCCAGTAACGGGTGTCACTTTTCTAATTACCTCGTTGGCTTATTAGGGCGACCGCTTGGTGATACATTCTGTAACGAAACCAATCTCGTTGCCAGCTGACCCTCTCCTGCGTGTGCTGGAAATGGTTCATAAAAGGTAGTTTAAATAAAATGTAAATATTGATGCTCTTCGATAAATTTTGCTCGCAATAGTCATGTTGCAGTCAATAGCAAACTGTAAAAAAAATGCGCGTACATGTACGATTATTATTTTTTTTAATTTGCCGTGTACAAAATGTGTCGTACACGAGGTCGTACATGTACAACTTCCAAGCTCCCACTGGTCATCATTCGATTTCAAGTCGAAACAGAGTTTCTGAATTTTTAGAATCTTGAATTGTAATTGTAAGACTTCTTTCATAGAAATTTTTCCTGCACTCGGCAGGGCAGTTTTTCATAGCGGTATGGCGACATTTCTGCCAATTTTCAAGATTTTTCGCCAACTGCATATATCATTCGATTGGATGCGACCATATGTGTTACTCACCGCAGAAGTGGCATTCTCTGCTCTCAACATCCACATTCGTTCAGAAGGTGGAATAGAATCAAAGGGGTACACATACGCCGGTACACTCGTAGCGTTCTGTCCTTCTGACAGAGGTAGGAGGGCGGCTTCAGCCAAGCTGACGTTGTTGACTGTTGCCTGGGCATGGTTAGTGGCCCTCGTGTGAGAGGTGCGCAGAGCGACCGAGCGGCAGCCAATCAGAGAGCTTTGGTATCGCCTGGAGCCGCCACGGCCCGGGATCGCCCGTGCGAGGCTAGCGGTATGAAAAACTAGTTCCCTCCACACACAGACGCACGCACGTCAACGTCAACAACGACAAAGACGTCGAAGCGTCGCCGCAGCACAACGGCTGCTATTTGCAAATGAAGATTATGCTGGAATAAACCATTTAAAATGGGTAACCAGCGTTGGCAGGTAAGAGCGAGTGTTCTAAAGAAGGAACTCTGCCTATTTAGTGAGGGTTTTTGTGATCTCATGGGAGGGAGACACGATAATACTCAGGTTGTTGACATGTCCAGGCTAGGTTATGTTTTCTTGATCTACCTTTTCAGTATTGGCGTACCTCAATTTATTACACTGAAATAAGTACTAATAAGCATTAAATCATCCTTTCTCTTACAGGGGGCTCGTCACACTCGCACCAACATCAAAATGGGGGAAACCAGGCCGAAGCCTAAAACAGAAATTGGCATCTGCATCATCAAGAGGAAAACCCCAACATGCTGTGATGATGAGAACTGCACATTTCTCGAAGAGCACTCTTGTCTGTACGAAAAGTATTGTAAAGAAGACTGTCCAATTTTGAGGGAACAAATTTTTTTTGAGGCAAAGAGCCAGAATATTTCCCTTAAGGAACAGATCCGAAGTCTGAAGGCAAGGCTCGAGGCAGCAGAAGATGCCTGTGTGAGACTGGACTCTGCAATGTGCTGAAGTACAATATTTGCCCACCACTGCTGTGAAAAACATTTGCAGCTACTTAGTGGATAACGTAGGATGAGTTCAGATATGGCAAAGCATTTTCTCCTAACAAATTCTTTATTGTCTGTCTGTCTGTCTGTTTGCACGATAACTCGAGAAGTATAAAGTTACTCACTGGGGTGATCGTAAGTGTGTACATGAAATGTAGAACAGCCTGTCTGTTTGCACGATAACTCGAGAAGTATAAAGTTACTCACTGGGGTGATTGTCAGTTTGTACATGTAATGTAGAACAAATTGATGCGGTCACTTCTAGTTTTCACCAGGGGAATGTTGGTCAAAAGATTTGTTTTGGTCACTGGAGTAATAGGCTTAAAATGCTGGGAAGAGAATAAATTGTTCTACAAACTTATCCTTCACAAGCACATTGAGAATACTGAGCAGGTAACACGTAATTTGTTAAAGGGGTCCATATCACCTTGACAAATTATCTTCTGTCTGTTTGCACGATAACTCAAGGAGGGCAAGGTGAGTGGAGAACAAGCTGAAGCAGTCACTGACAGCTGTCTAGCTAAATGGAAAATATGGTTTCACATGACTGACATAACTGTTCGGTCAGTGGAGTAATGGGCTTAAAGGTTTGTAATGTTAATCTGATCTTTGCAAGCTTACAGAAATACAGATTATTTTTTTAAAAGAAGGTTCTGCATTTCTAGTGTACTTTGTTGTAAACAATTGTATACTCATGGTGGCCATGCAATCAAGGTTTTCAAATTCCTTGACTTTTCCCTGACCTTTGGAGGGTTTTTTTTTGTTTAACTTTTCGCCTCCCTAAAAATAGAAAATCCCACCATAAGCTCGAGCAAAACTCAATCATTTCCCCTGACTTCCAGGTTGTGTTACCACCATGACTGGTTCTGTTGATAGATGAGTTGACAATAAAGAGAAGGTGCTTTTTTATACTGGAATGTTTTTAATAAATCCACCTTAGTCTTAATCACTAAAAATAAAATGTGAAAACCATTCACAGGACAAGTGGCAGTCTTTGGAAAGTAACAAATACATTCACTTCAGTCTTGATCACTTAAGTAGCATGGAATAACCATTCACAGCATAAATTACCCGTATAACAGTGCTTTAAAAAAAATATTTTACAAATACTGAAATGTAATTAACTTACATACAACAAGAGATCCTTTGAAGTCTTTGAAATCAATTTCAAAAAATCACAAACCTTAAACTTAAAGTAGCAGCTAACGCAAAATAAAACAAAGTAGGTACTGGAAAACTGACATCAAAGGAGACATCATAACACAGGAACTTAAAACCCTTGAATTAGCAATAAATATTTGCTAAACTAAAAGTAGACAAACAAAATGAGAAAATCAAAACAAAAACAACAACATTAAAACTAAAAACCCTTCAGAATGCATTAAATATTTCCAAAAATAAAAGTAGTTAAACAAAGCGCAATACAAACAGAACCATTATCCAAGAAGTTTCAGGCGCTTAACACCAAGGCTAACAGCAGTCTTTCTCTTCGGAGTGCTGACATTTGAATCCTTTTCTTTCTGACTAGAGCTGGATTCTTTTTCTTTCTGCCTACAGCTGGATTCTTTTTCTTGCTGCCTGGAGTTGGATTCTCTTTCTTTCTGCCTATAATTTTCAGCAAGGTAGTGGCCACCAGCAGACTTACTTGCCAATGATGAGGCAGTATTTTTGACATCTGGAGACAACTGTGATACTGCCAGCTGCCTATAACGCATGATAGTGAAGGCCTTTACTAACTTCTCTCTTACATCATGGCATGTGTGCAGTGAAATGTGAGCCGTTCTTGGCTTCACAATAACATCAATCAAACTTTCCAGATTTTTCACCCCGCTCAACTTAGGCAGCCAGTTTCTTAAGTTAAATTCAATTAATCTGAACAATTTAAAGACTCGGTCACTAACTGAAAACTGGGCACCAGGCACAAAATCTGTTAAGATTTGGAATAGTGAATTAGGGTGAAGATTTTCATCACAATGCTTAAGCTTCTCAATGCATCCTTCACATTTCAGCATGTTTTTATTCTTCAGAGTTATTATGATGTATCCACTTATGCGGTACAACACATCTTCTTCATGTGGCTCAATACCTGTGACTTGTTCACTCCACTTAAATTTAGAGGGATCTACTTCAACAGCTTCATCAGGAGACTCAGCAGGTGGATAGAAAAGGAGATCCACATAATCACCAGACCCATCATGGTCATATGATGAGGAATTAATTTTCATGTTAAATTGAGACACCGTTAAATGTTTCAATCTATTTTTAAACTCAAGTGGTGTCGGATTTGGGTGATTCATTCTAATCCAAGAGTTAGCATTTTCAACAACATCACAACCAAAAGTAGAGGTTTTTAGAAACTGGTAACCCTTTTCATGAATCAAATGTTCTTGTATCTCAAGAACAGCCATAGTACTCAGAATAACATGGGACTGCACTGGCTTCCAGCCACCAGGAACAATCATATTCCTAAACACACAAACAACTAATTTCAAATGCGCAATTGCTTCGTCATAGACTTTCCTGTCTTTCAGGCCAAGCGCATGATACAAATTTCTGGACGTCATCAACTGAAACCACCGATTCATGAGTTTAAGGAACCATGCTGTGGTCTCATATTCTGGCTCTACTAGTCCTTTAACTACTAAGTACTGTAGGACTGCAGCTGTCCTATGATTAATGACCTTCAGAGCAGCCTTCACTTTCATTTTGGAGAAGTGGTTTGGGTTTAAAGCTTTCAATGTGAGCCCAGGGATTAACTGAAGAATGTCATCCCTTTGAAAGCTCTCAATCCATTCAATGTGATGCAAATCCACAATATCGTTTACTTGACCAAACTCGTTTACTAGACCGAACTCTGCACATATGTGTGCTGGTAGCTGGATATACTTATTATGCACAAAGCACTCTTTTAGGGACTTAAAAAGGTGGACTGGATCAGCCACACACCACAGATTTGAACCAGGCTTGACAGGATTGTCAATGCGCCACCTCAAAGAATCTTTCAGCGTGGAAAATCCTAGTTCCTTTAGAAGTCCCCTGTTGCCCATATCACAGACAATTGCAATTACATTGGCCTTAATGTCATTTGCTTTCTGAAGCAACTCCACTATTAAATTCTTTTTGGCCACCACTGCCACCTCAGCTGGATTGAGGTGGTATGCCACTACTTGTTTGAGCCGTTGATGGATCCCTCTAAACATATAAATTTCACCCTTTTCTGCGTACATTTCCTCCTGACCTGGCAAAGTCCCGTAACCAATCATGCGTTTTAAATTATTGTCATGGTCAACTTGTCTCTTAACGACTAATTCATCAAATACAATATTGATATCACGGTCCCTACTGTCCAGAAAACCTTCAAACTTCTTGGCTAATGGCTCCATTATTTCATTTAGAATGCCAGGAGCAAACCGAATGTGTTCAATAGCAGCCTGAAGGGTTCGTACTCCAGGCATTTGTGGTGAATTTGGAGAACTCCTTAAGACTTCTAAAACTTTACGGTACCCTGAAGGCCCACAGGCCACCTTGAGCTGAAGCCCATTCCTAATATCTTTCGCAGTGAACTTCTTGTTTCCTCTTCGTTGTCTGTTCTCTTTCTCTTCAACTTCTTTCTCTTTAGTTATGACTTGCTTCTTCAAATGATGGAGTTCTTGCACAAGCTTACAAGACTCATTAAAGACTGCATTGATTTGAGAACGCAACTTCGGCATCACAA